CTTAGCACATCTGTGGAATCCCAATTCTCAAGAACTTCCTGGGATTCCACCCAGTTAAAAGTTCATGATCTTGTCCCCGCACCCACAAATCAATCACATGGTCCAATCGTCTTCCTCCACGCTGGTAGGTGCGGAGACAAAAGATGATATTGGTCTTCTAGAAAAGAATGACAACAACACATTCCACAATCCTACTCCTTTCTATTCCCCCCTCACAACTACTACACTAATGAAACAGCATAATAAAATAAGAGAAAGTATGGCAGGCCAAAGATCCTAAAAGGGATATAATTGCATGCCTGACATAATGCTCACAGCTGCAAGTAAACACATTATTGACAGTTCAAAGGATTTTTAATTCAAAATCATATTTCCTGTGTACAGGTAATCCTCAATTTACAACCGTTCATTTAGTGACCATTCAGAGTTACAAATGACACTGAAAAATGTGACTTCTGATCATTTTTCACATTTAGGACCATTGCAGCATCCCCATGGTCATATGATAAAAATTAAAACCCTTGGCAACTGATCCATATTTATGACAGATGCAGTGTCCCGGGGTCATGTGATTACATTTTGCAACCCTCTGTCAAGCAAAGTCAATGGGAAAGCCAGATTGACTTTACAACCGTATTGCTAACTTAATAACTATAGGAATTCACTTAACAACTGTGGCAAGCAAGGTCATTAAATGGGACAAAATCACTTAACAACTGTCTCATTAACAGAATAAGAGAATTGGAAGAGACCTTGGAGGTCATCTAATCCACCCTCTGCTCAAGCAGGAGACTCTTATCTTTTGGCAACAAAAATATTGGGTTCAATTGTCATCATAAGTTGAGGTCTATGAGTATACTCCAGAATGTATCCCCAATTTATATTCATTTTAAGCAGAAATAAGAACTTGTGTGGAAGGTAAATTAATCATCTGATCTTTAGAATAAATCTGACACATTTCAAAAACTGAGTCCCACACACTTTCTTCTTTTAATGCTTTCTTCTACAAAGATTGGTGCCCAACAATGCTGTAGGTTCTTTTGATGATTCTCTCCAACGTAAAATCATTGCCTTTCTGTCAAAACACAAACATGTTTTTTCAGCAAGGATGTGTGTTGTTTCTTTCTCCCACACACGTTCTACATTTTCCTTGAATTTTTCCTTGTATAATTAACTGTAGTTGATGTTTCTTCTTGGATAGCATGTGTCATAAGTATTCTAATTTCCTTTTCTTGTTGGTATTCACAAGAAGGATATTCTTTCTCTCATTTCAACCCATGATATTTCAAGTATTCTGTGAATCTGCATTTCAAAGGCATCTATACTACTAATTGTCATTTGAGTCATTACTCATCTTCCATTCCACATGAAAGAATTTGCTGTACATGACAACAACAACTTCTGACTAGCGAAGCTCCAGTCTTAAGGTCCCAGAGCAAACAGGTTTACTCATTCTTGAAAAGCTATCCCCACCTGTTCATCCTGCTCTTTCTCTCCATGCTACAATCCCATCTATCATTCAATATGCAGCCCAGGTATGTATGTCGTTGTATCTTCTGCACCTGCCTTCCCAGAGGCATAATATTTGTTAATAGAACAGTGTTATTGGTGTAACACAATTATTTATTATTACACCATCAATATTTATACTTTCTTGGCATTTTTCTAAAAAATATTTGAAAATAACTTCAGAATATATAATAAATAAAAGGAGGAATAATACATATGATAACAGACAGAAAAGATCTCCTTTCCAATCCCCTATCCCCCAAATAATCAAAGTCCTAACAAAATCAATGAGGATGAAGGAGCCTCAGTGGCACAGTGGTTAGAGTGCAGTACTGCAGGCTACTTCTGCTGCCTGCTGGCTGCCTGCAATTTGGCAGTTCAAATCTCAGCAGGCACAAGGTTGACTCATCCTTCTAAGGTGGACAAAATGAGGACCCAGATTACTGGGGGCAATAGGCTGACTGTGTAAACTGCTTAGAGAGGGCTGTAAAAGCACTAAGTGCTATTGCGATTGCTATAAAAGATGCTTTTCTGATGCAATGTTGCAATATTGCCCTGCACATTGTAGTCCCTTCCTTGCCCAATAAACCTCATAGTATGTGTGTGAGTGTGTGCAGGGCAACACTCTCTCCCCCCCCTCTCTCTTCCTTCCTCCCTCCCTCCCTCCCTCTCCCTCCCTCTATGATACAGTATATGGTCTTTGCTATGGCTTTCTGTTAGATTCTGGAAAAAATAGCTGTCCCAGTGATCTCCAACAGAGATCACATAGATGGCCAGTTGTACATCACTTTTAGAAATTAGGGCAAGTTGTAGAAATCAGCATATCTCATTGATTTACAGTAAGAAGACTAGAACAGTCTCTTGGAGACATGCAGTTAGAAAACTATGCAAAAAAAAAGCAGGCTGGCACTGCCTCCAAGTGGCAGAAAAAAAAATCTAAAGGGAATCAGCAATCTATAAGTCCCATAATTGTTACATCTCTGTTCCCATTAATTGCTACTACTATTCATGCATCTATTCCACTGTCCCTAAACATTATTTTTCCATATTCAAAATGGAGAGATTAAGCCGATTTGTTGAACAATGCCTTTGTATACCATGTGATAATATGAGCACCAAAAGAAGGCAGAGATTTTTATATTTGATATCTTATTTCTAAAAATAATAAAGGCAGAATAGAAATAAATAAATATGGATTGAAACCAAAAGGGACCAACAAACAACTGTGAAAGGCTTACTGTATGTTAAGGTGGTTTGATCATATAATGAAAACGGAAAGAAAAATGAAAGCGAAGAAGCTAGAAGAAGTGTCTGAATGGAAGTGGTTAAGATAATAAAAAAGATGTTTACAGAGGGAAAAAGAAGTGTATGGAAATGGTGAAGGTGAGGGTTTGCAGATAGAAAAATAGGAAGAGGTACAGTAAATGTTCATTTGATTTGTATCCCATTTTTATAATTTTTACAAATATCTCAGGGTGACAAACATATCCAACAGGCCTTTCTCCTCCCGTTTCCCCCCACAATAACCTTGTGAGGTAGGTTGGGTTCAGAGTCACCCAGATGGCTGTCATGGCTAAAGCGAGGCTTGAACTCACAGTCTCCCACTTTCTAGCCTGGTGTCTTACCAGACCAAACTTATCTTGGACCTTCAGTTTTGGGGGTTACTGTTCTTACTCTGTCTCTGTGTTTTATAATGTTAAAGGTTCCCCTCACACATATGTGCTAGACGTTCCCGACTCTAGGGGGCAGTGCTCATATCTGTTTCAAAGCCGAACAGCCAGTGCTGTCCGAAGAAGTCTCCGTGGTGATATGGCTGGCATGATTAAACGCCTATGGTGCATGGAACGCTGTTACCTTCCCACCAAAGGCGGCTCCTATTTTTCTACTTGCATTTTTATATGCTTTCGAACTGCTAGGTTGGCAGAAGCTGGGACAAGTAACAG